AATATCTTTACGGTCGGATTCGGATTCTACGGGAAAAATCCTATCAGAATCGACTACAACTTTGTTGGGTAGTGTAATCGTTAACTGTACAGAGACCAAAGCCATGCAATCGAACGTTACTTTTTGAGACTCACGAGTACTAATTTAAATTATTAAGGAAACCTTCTTCTGCTTATTTGGCACTACAACCTTTTGTCGGTTTGGGCCGCGGCCAAACAGCTTCGCCACTTGCCTCTCTCCTTTGTGAATTTGTGCCGTTTATTCATCACAACTGCGGACTGGTCCTTCTGTCCTTCCATTTTGTTCGTGGGCGCCCTTGCTTTCGTTGTCTATCCATGGGTGCCGAGTCGAAGGATCTTTTCACCGGAGCGTCGTCATCCATGCTATTTGATATTTTGATTTACATGGTTTTTTTTTTAATGGAAGCTGTATTTTCATTTAAAAAAATATTAAACATTTTTTAAACAAAGAAAAGTAGCGAACACTTGGAAAAATGTCTCTTCCCTATTTACATACTCGCCACCGTATTTCTTTTATACAACGGATGCGTAATCAAAAATTGACCCGTCTAAGAATGTGAAGAAAGCCTTAGTGTCCTATGGATTATTGAACTTCTCAACTTATCGATTAATTAATGAATCTGTTAATCGGGTCTATTTTGCCAAAAGGGTTTGGAGATTTTAGATTTTTCATAAGAAAGAAGATGAAAAATCGCCAATTGTACTTATGTAAAGCGATAAACGAAACAATAATCACCAACATGAAAAACTTATCATTGAGGCTTTGAACTTCAAAATTTCAAATCAATGCACATGCACTGACTCATTATTTTTCATTTGTAAATTCTTTTACATTTGTTAACTTGTTAGTTAGTTGCTTAAAAAAATCGTAATTTGTCTACTTGCTTGTGTAATTCGTTTCGTGCAGTTTTCTATGCATACTTGTTTGTATTTAATATTTGTTTGTGTATTTTTTGTGTGCTCTGTGCTTTGCTCCAATTTTTATCTTAAACTAAGTTGTTGTGGTAACTTGATAAATTGACTGCTTTCAGGCGATTCCAGCTTAGCATACTTTTGTATACATGCAATTAATTAGTAGTTTAAAATAAATAATACTGATTTGCAAAGAAGCTACATCTAGTGGTTTGTAAAAATATGCATATAAAAAAAATTGAAATAAAATAAGTAACTAATCACAAAGTCTGTATACAAGATATTTAATTAGCAGTATTGAATAATGCATAAAAATGCAGGCATGCAAGTTCGATTTGTTTAAACGGTATGCCAAAATGCTTTGCTGGCTGTGATTTATAACTTCTCGGCTTCTAATGTTAAAAGCGGCATTCAACATTAGATTGAAGATCACAATTGGCAAACTACTTTATATTAGAGAAAGGGGCGACTGCTTTTGCTCAGCTTCATAGTGAAAAATTAATGTTTTGTCTCCAGTAGCAATCTGGTTCATTAATTCATACCAATTTTCTTTAGACAATTTTAAAAATTTATGAGAGTTGTACTGAGATTACCAGACGTGAAACATGGTATAAGTTAAAGTTTTCAGGTATGCTTAGGTTAGGTTACACGGTTTGCTCTTGTCAAGAGTTCACTTTGTGTTTTTGCATTTCTAGAAGAGAAAATTTTTCTAAAAACTTATTCCTGCATGTTCTTCAATCATCTCGATCTTTTGACACATGCAGACAGCCCCCCCTATAATGTCGAAAGTGTCTAAGTTGTTCAGCTAAGTGGACCCCATTACGGTCCACAAAAATCTTAAAAGCTTTATTCATGGTGCCATGTAGACTATAGGCCAGTATTGCCGTAGGAAGCCTAATTTTTCGCTCATCTAGTGATGAACGGAGCGTTCGCGATATTCTGCATGTTCCGAGCCTAGTCCAGCAACGAATCCGATATTATGCCTACCTTTGAGAGTGGAAATCTCAGTAAGGGCCTGAACTCAGGTCTCCAAGTGCCATTTTCTCGCGAAATTGTCCGCTTCCCCATTTCGCTACACACCTTTATGCTCTCGGACCCTGTGAAGACTGCTGTATGTATGTTGGGTAAGAGATTGCAGGCATTTTGGAAATTCCCAAAGTCATACGGAATTACTCATTGCCGTCCTGATGGCCTTGATAACAATCTGAATGTCTAAACATCGCCCGCCATGTTTACCAATCGCGTAATAAATCTCAAAAGTGCTTCTGACGCCGGCTAGAGCATCGTGCAGACTGTAGATATGCCAACTGTTTTACAAAGCTGTGCAGATATTTAGGAATTGGTTTCAACCGTCTCCTACCAGACATGACGCTCAGCTTCTTAAGCCTAGGATAGAGTTTTGTTATTAGCCATGAACAGCCATTTAAGCACAAGTCGTATATAATGACTTAGACCACTTTTAAAACTATGGGCAACGATATCTCAAGCCTTAAAAACTGTCCGGCAAAACCTCCATTCTGCGCATTTTTCGAACTCCTTTCTCGGACAAGGAAAAGTATATGATATGATTAACTTATGGAAAGAGCATTACACAGTCCAATTATTTCTGTTCATTGGTTCTCTGGGCCTCAACCCGGTAAATTCTTTGCTTAAAACTCTTTAGAACATTTTAACCCTCTAGCTGCCATTTTTTAATACTTTCTAAAAAACTGCTCACTAAATTTTACTGTAGAGCTCTTGCAGACAAGCCCTGATTAAATTTTCTTTTTAAAATTTTTGTAAAATATTTTAACCCTGTTTATTTTTAATGAACTTATATGAAATAGAAATATGGTTGGCCGGAAGACCCATAAACAACTTTTCCAAGCACTCAGGCAATATTGCCCATTGTACTTAGGTCCTAGAGAGAGGATTTAAAGGAGACAGGCGGGTTGGGAATTCTTTACTCTTCTGTAAACTTACCAGTGTAGTTTATGAATCGAAGTAGTTTGTCGAGGAAAGAGAGAGTGCTGTGTAGCTCATCATTTCTCAACTCATTCGGCCCAAAAATGTACCGTCTCAGTCTGGCGAAGGCCGCACGCTAACAGGGAAAATGTTTTGTGCTATTCTCATCTTTCCACCACACTAAATCCTTGATGTGCATGACAGTTCCCGCTATGCTTAAAATTGTATCCGGGTCAATTGGATGCTCCATCTTTTTTTGAAAAGTTGCGTTCGGTTTCCAAAGCTTTTAGAGAAGCCTGACTTTCAGTGCAGACCCTGATTTTATATCTAATCTGCTATATTAAGTCTTACAAAGACTTACGATTGAAAGACCGTTGTTGTTATACCTAGGTTAGTTTAGAGTGGCTAACACCTCGCCAGAAAACGGAGGTTCACGTAGGCTGAAAAATCCAGTTGTGCTATCATTGGCAGAAGCCATTTCTTTTTTTCGCCTCCCTTAAAAATGTGACCACCGAGCGCGTTTTATATAGCTCTTTCGTTTCCGCAGCTTTTAAAAATCATTGGTTGGGTATCACAACTTCTTTCCATGCGTATCCATCCGGTGATTACGCCGGCTACTAATCTGAGAGCAGAGCGCCAAATTTGCCTGGTAGTATAGTAGCGTCCAACAGCCCACCTGGTATTTACCTACTCGATAAGTTGGTCAGCTTGTAGTAGTGATATGCCGTTCTGGAGCGGTAAAAGTTATGAGCCACCGAGCGGTCTTCATAATAGCATTTAGGAATCGAGAACGAGTTCCGGTTTTGGTTTACTTCTGCACGAGAAGAAAATGTAATGTCAAGAACGTCACCACAAAAGAACCAAAAGGGAACAAAATGAGAACAAATCGTTCGAGAATGTTCTCAAGAAGAACAGAATGAGAACGAAACTTTCGGTAATGTTTCCAATGAAAACAAAACGAGAACGAAGGTATCGAGAACGTTTTCAAGGAGTTTCAAATAAGAACAAACGTCTTGGGAACGTTTTGCTAGAGAACAAAAGTTTTGAGAACTTAACATTAAGAATGAGAGGAACGTCTGCGTGTTTTGCTAAAAAATCGTTTCAGTGAGAACCATGATTGTTACTAGGGTGAACTAAGTGTCCATTTATCGAACAATTTTTCATTTTCCGTGCATGAAAAGTTCGTGTCTGAAGTCTTTCGTTGACCTTATTTGCATAATTATCTTTCGGTTCTTTTTTAATTCATTTTAATATTCAAACATTTCAAATTAATGCAACGCTATGAAAAAAAGTGTGTTCTTGCTTCCATTCTTCGCGAATAGTTTAGAGAAGATTTGTTCTCGTTTCGTTCTCTCTCAGAAAGCTCCTGAGACTTTGGTTCCCAAACTGTTCTTCCAGAGAAAAATTCTTAGAATTTTGTTCCCGTTTTGTTCTTTGCCAGAACGTTCCGAAGAATTTTGTTCTCTTAGAAATGTTCCCGAAAGTATTTTTCGAATTTTTTTCCTTTGGGAACGCTTCACAGGGTTCTTATTATTCTTGTTGAGATCGTTCTCGACAGTTTTGTTCTCACTTTAGTTTGGGTTTTTAAGCGATCTTGGGAACAAAAGTACGAGAACGACATTTAATTCCGAGCATACCTTCTGTTCAGGGTCCCTGGGTTGTAGTCCCTTTGAGCATAAAAATGCATACATACGTACATGCATTATATTTGAATTTGTGACAAAAAAGTATACTGTTAGCTGGTGGAGGAAAATTCTCCTAGGGTTTGACTATCACTACTACTAAACCAACACAATTCCGAAAATCCCACACAAACTTTTGCATGTTTGACCTTTAAGCACACTTTTAATCGCTTTAACTCGCACCTTATTCTATTTAGCTACTTTTGTAGGCAATGTAAACACTTTCGTGCTAAAAATCCTTTACTTGTAAGCATCACCAAGCATTTATTTAGCCAATATTATCGATTATGATATATATATATATGCATATAATAATTTAAAATAATCATCAGTATCGCCTAATTAAACTATATTTAAGTTAATAATCTGCCTACACTATTTTAGTAATCACAAAAATTCTACCTTTTCTCTGTCTTTCCTTCCCTTCGATTATCTTCTGCAGGTTCAGCGCCGCTTGGTTTCTATACGCCTGTGAAAGCACCCATCGATAACCTCTTTCAATTGGGCGTAACGCGTGCACCTAACGGTAATGGACATCACGCCTACAATAAAACATCAACGCCCACAACCAATGGTACCACCGCCACACAAAATGGTCAAAGTAATGGTGGTGGTGGTAGTGGCAACAGCAATGGTAGCAACAATGGCGGTGGTAACAGTGAAGGTGGCGCAGACGAGGGCGAGGAGACAGCCGAAAGTTTGCAATACATCAAGCCGGCGAATGATGATCTCACCATAGCGTACAGTGAAGGCACGCAGAAGACAGATTTGCTATATTGAATTGGAACGAAACCGGGCGAAGCAGGACGAGCAGTGGTAAACAGCGCAGCCGCAAAGCAGAAAAGTAGGCAATCGAGCGTAAAAAAGGGGTTTGAGGAAGCTGATTATTTGAAAAGTAGCGTGAAACTGCAAGGCAGCAGTATTCAGTGGATTTTTTTGCAGCCGAAGAGAGAGAGAGAGCTTTGCTTCCTGTGGCCGGCAGCAGTCTCACGTATGCAGGGCAGGAGCAGTGTTGCACATTTTGAAAATTGTTCATATTGGAGCAACACACAAGTTATGTAGTAGGCTAGTTTATAAGTCGTCTAGGCGTGCATTTTTCTTTAATAATTATATTTAGCATTTTTTTATTGTATGATTTTTTTTTTTGTTCTTTACTCTTGCGATAATAATTTAGTAATATGCAGTTTTTTTTTTGTTTGATACATACTATATTCCATTGCACTTTTTATGTGTGCTTGTAAAATTAATGCAATGCAAATTTTTTGTCTGTTATTAATATAAAAACAAAAAAATTAAAAAATACAAAAAAAAATTGATGAATAAATAATAAAAAAGTCTGTTTAGCTTACAGAGAAATTCTGAAAATTAATTGTAATAGATTTACTTACTTCATATGTTGTGTATGTAGCATTAGAGCGTGGCGCCAAAAAAGCATATATGCTGTAGTGATAAAGAGAATGCAAACAAAAGAAAATGGCATCAAAAAAACCGATTGCAAATTTAAAGCCAAGAAATAAGTAAAAAAAAAAATGTTGCGCACGAGAGCTTTGCAAGTATTGTATGTATGTAGCAGCTGTATTAAAAAAAAAGGTATAAATTAAATTTTTTAAGTTGAAAAACCCGTATCTATCATAAAATAGAAGAATATTTTCCCAATTTTTGGCGCTTTATAATTCACTTATTCATACATACATAGATTTAAAATAAGGGACCGAAAATTAACATTAAATATCAAGATTTTTATATTTAGATCATTGCAAAATCGTCATTATTTTTTTTTTAACCGACTTAAAAAAAGAAGGTTATCAATTCGTCGGAATATTTTTTGTTATGTATGTTACCGCTTAACTTTGGAGCACGCTAACCGATTTCTATAATTCTTTTTGTAAAGGAAAGGTTGTACTTCAGAGGTGGTCCCATACTAATTTCGTCCGATCATTAGATCATGAAGAAATTAACGGCCGGTTTTGTTTTTTGCCAAAAAATTACTTGTTCTTTTTTTTTGATCAACAATAATCGTGAAATTTGGATTGTTATTTTTTGGTCAAGTGTAATCGTTATTTTGATTTTTTTTTTTTAATCAAAAAATAATCGTTATTTTGCATTTCAATTTTTTACCGTTTATGAACGTTCCTAATCTAAAAAATTAAAAAAAAAAAATTAATAGAAATCAAAAATTTATCGAAAAAATAAAAATCCTACATTCTTTCAACATTCTTTAATAAAAAAAACGCAAAAAATAGCTTTCAAATCTGCTTGGAAAAATATAAATCCAATTTTTACGTTCAAATTATGATTTTTATTATAAAGATCTTAACAGTAACGGTCCCTAATTTAAATGCCTGAAACACCTCAAAGCTTCCTAAACTCGCAAAATATGTTTGAATGTTTTTTTCGAGCTTCGTGTTGTTTTTTCGCAAGCGAAACCAGAAAATTCTTATAAATTTTCGTTTCTGCAGCCGAATTTGAGGCTAGAATTCAAAAATTGACTTGATTTTTTCAATCTAACCTCAAAAAGTTGATCACTTTGGTAGTTTTTTGAGGTTGGCAAGAAAATTAACGTCGACTTTGGCATCGTGGCTTCAGATTTGGATTAAGCGTCCCGAAATCTATTTGATTGATTTATTTTTGTTTGCCAGACAAAATAGAAAATTAATGTAGTAACTAGATTTTTTGATGTTCGAAAGACAAAAACAGATAGCCTCGAAAGTCTGACTTCAGTTTGGAATTTAATAACCCAAAGCCTGTTGGAATAAGAAAAATAATAATAAACGAAAGGGAAAGGTAAGTCTCTACCAAAATTCGCTTTTTCGGGGTTAGAAAGCAAAAAAGAGCCAACTTCACAATTCCATGCAAGAAAAATGTTTTTGGAGAGGCTATATATGAACTTCGTTCTTGATTTTGGAATATCTCTAATATCGAAAATTGTAAGATAAAAACATATAAAAACTATTTTTTTTTTTTTGTGATAAAAAGCTCTTTTATTGTATAATGGCCTAGAATAACAAACTTTGTATAATCAAAAATAGTCTTAAAAAGTTGATTTTATTTGTAGTTATTTAAAAGCATTAAAAATTCGCAAAGAAAATATGCAAAGACCAGTTGTGTTTAATATGTATGTAAAAATTTTGAATAATTATTTTATAGAGAGATTCAAAAAGAAGATTCCCTTAAACTGAATGAAGCTTCGAAAAAACCCTTAACACGCCTATTCTGATTGTTACGCAAAGTTTTTGAAACCGGAAAAAATTAACATTTTTACTAAGAAAATTGGAAAATAGAACTTTAGTTACCGGTTACAAAATGTTTATTTTAAGCGCGGAATAGGCCTGTAAATCTCGAAACTTTGGCTGAGCATTCGAGTGTTTCAGTTTTTCCGTTTGAGGGAATATAAATATTTCAAGTTAGGTCATATTCATTTATTCTAACGTATGTATTAACAACCAATATTCTATGTTTTTCTAAAAAAATAAGATTTTTGAAAACAATGTTGCCGTAGCAGCTGAATTATATATATTAGAAGAAAAATTGTTATCAAGAACCCTTTTTATTGGAGTATACAAATTTAAATAAAAACTTGTGCTTATTAAATTTTCTTTGAAAAGTAGTAGTAGTAGGAGTATTTCCTTAGCCAGAAAAAAGTCTCGGAAAACCTAGACAGAAGAGAGAGTTAAACAAAACTTTAATAATTTCTATGAAAAATGCTTTTGAGCACCGAGTTTCTAGCTTTCCGAGTTTAAAGCTATCGGCTAATTAAGAGTTTCTTGTTTATTATGTATTCTTACAAAAAAACACAAAATTTTCATTTCGAATAAAAACGAAAAATTCATACATATGTCCCATTTTTGTCAAATGCTTTCGAGCACCGAGTTTTCTAGCTTTACGAGTTTAAAGGAATCGCCTTATTAATAGTTTCTGATTACTTATCCTTAAATACAATTTCTACCAAAAATGCTTTTTAAATATTCTTGTTTCTTAAATTAAAATCTTTATTTCGAATAAAAACCCATAATCATACACCCAATTTTTTGTAAAATTTTTATTTGTTTTAAATTCAGTTAATTGCTATAATAAACGTTAAGTGGAAACTCACATTGAATAAAAATATGCCAACGGATAACCGGTTTTTAATTCTCGGCACAATATAAACAATTCGCTACACAGAGAAATGCGATTAAAACAAAATTTAACGGGTAACCGGTTTTTCCAAATCGAGTAGTTGGTACCATATAAACAATTCGTTCTGTGGAACTTACAGCTTGAGTTTAACGCATCGGCGAATATATTTATATGTACCTACCAAGTTGCAATTACACGGAAAACAAAGTCTTAAGCTAGGTACAATTCGTTTACTTTATTTTAAATGGCTTATATTGGCATATTCTTACTTGGATAATATTTAATGAAAAACGCAATAAAATACTTCCTTATAAGTTTATTTTGTTCTGCTTACTGTTTTAAATGCGTAACCGGTTTTCCAAATTTGAGTACCGGGTACCATTTTAAAAATAATTTCTCAATATAATTTATGCTAGCGAGGGCGATATTCAGCGTATCGAAAAACCAAATTTTATTCTGTAACCGGTTTTTGTAAAATCGGAAAAAGATTTTGCGACACATTTAGGAAAAGATTTTTTTAAGTATTAACAGGCCTCTGAAAGCAAAAAAAACTTCGAATTTTGTGTTTCAAAGTCTTTTTTGGTTAACAATATTTGAACACACGCTGTTTTGAGCTTACAAAAATTTCCACAATCTGAAGATAGTTAAGGCAAAAAAAAAATGCAGAAACATTGTCTAAGATTTAGGCGCCTGACTAAGTAGTAAGAAAATTTTAAAGAAAAGCACATTAAAATTTTCAAAAATAATTATAAAGTGAAATGAAATGCGAGAAATACAGTCTTTAATATGGAACTATGCTTTTTGGTAGCAGAAACGCATAAAAAATAAAGTAATCAAAACTATAAAGTTGACATGATATAGCCAAATAAAATGCATAAAATCAAAATTTTCAGTAGCTACATATGTATATACATACATATGTATAAAAAAAAAAAAAAAATGGCGTTCAAAAAACTTAGTCAAACAAAGTATCGAATTCTTGATCCACAAATTAAGCTGTTGAATGATCGCAAGTGATAAACGCTGCGAACACCATTTGCTGAATTCTTAAATATGCTAAAATGCAATTGTAAAGTTAAAAAACGTTTTTTTTTCCCCCAAACAGCGCTAGCTCTAATTGCCGAACTGCATACATACACACATACAATATACAATACATTAATTTTTGTAATATGTATTTTACTTATATGTAATACTTATATTAAATAATATTATATTATATACAAAACAAGTACATTGCATACCATTTACTTATATACATACGATTATTAATTACATATATTATTACTGATTTACATACATATATACATACATACATACCGTACATTTTTTTGTAGACATAAGCCAATCAAAATACATGCAACAACGTGCAGTTGATAAAGTGAAAATGAAAGAAATGTTACAGAAACATACAAAAAAAAATTTTATAAAAACAGAAATTATATTTAAAATAAATAAAAGCTTAAAAGGCATTTAAATTTAAAATTGATGAGTGTTTTTCTTTAATTTGCTGGTACTAGTCTTTAGCCAAGTACTAATATTTTGCTAATTGTTAAAGAAAATGTCGTTCAATATGCGGCAGTAGCATTCTACGATGGGTTACCGGTTTTTAAAAACCGAGTACCCGTTAAAATTTTTCAGCCAATTGCGGTAACCGGTTTAAAAAAGTCGATTACCCGCTACTATTTTATAGCCGGTTGTTAATTATATTTATCTTGCTTATATTTGGTGATTATAATCTACATTTCATACGTGGGAAAAGAATGAGAAAATCGAGTACTTGGTACCATATTTTAACCGGCTTAATTTCTGACTAATTTTAAATTTTTCTATTCATTAGCTCAGTGGCTCAAATACCAGGCACCCAGCAGAGCGCAGCAAGCAGCGGCACAATGCAGCGTAGTTTTGAAGCCACTGTAGGCAAATAAAGACACTTAGTGTTCGGACGCCAATATTGCGGCATTATATTTTAAAGTCAAAGTAATAATAGTAAAAGATTAAATAACGTTAGAATAAAAATAAAGGAGTGTTCTTAAATAAATAAAACATAAAAAATATGATATTTTTTCAAACTTTGAATACACATATGTACATATAGGTAATAGGTATATTAAAATATTAAAATCAGGCAATAAATAGTAGATTCAATGCACTTGAATTACGCGTAATACATTGAATTGCAGTAGGTCACTTGCTTCATTTACATTCAGCTACTTGCGCACTCTAAGCTTTGCAAGTTTTTTTGTAAATTTTGAAGCTTTAAGGCCCAAATCTCTTTCTAAGGCCATAATTTTCAGCTTATTTTTGTATAATTCAGATTCGAGAACCGCTGCTTTCAAGCGCCCCATATCAATGCAACTGTCGCGCTTTCGTTTTGTACTTTGCTTTGTTGTGGCTGTTCTATGTGAGCTGAGTTGTGATTCGTTAATATTAGAGATTTGCGATTCTATATTTGTTTCCGTACCGTCACCCTCGAGTAGGCTAAGGTCGTTCTTCACAGTCGACTCATTTTCCAAAATATCCAATATGCAGGCATCCACTGCGTCACAAACCAAAGACTTTGAAATGCTAATGACTCCAGCTTTTCTAGCAACGTCTCTTTTTGCCTGCAAAGTAATTTTTTTTTTTGTAGTTTTTGCTTTAAAAAAATAAATGAAACCTGGCGCCTACGGCACCAACGACTTAGCACTTATCACTTTGCAATTTGTGGATAAGTATTTGTTTGCAAAGTAAATTCATAAGTGTTGCATTTTATGTTTCAAGTTCGTGTAAAAACCTGTAAGTTCTTGGAGCTAAAATGTTTTCCATTTGGCTACGAGATAGCCAAAAAATTTTCTACTATACTATAGTAGTAGTAGGATTTTTTCGTTTTTAACACACCTTATTTGAACATTTTCGTGCTCATATATGTAAATTTAATCGTTTTTTTTCTCAATAATTTATCGAAGTAAGCGTTAAAGCACTGATTAATTCATTCAAGCTGAATAAAGGCTACTTACCATTGATATGATAGATAAAATTTTATTTAGCAAAACAATGCTAAAATTAGCAAAATGAAAGTTGATAAGTTGTACGTAAAAATTGTTGGTGCAACCAAATAGCTAATAAATTATGATAATTTGCATAACTTATCACTTATACGCTAAGATCTTTTCGCTTAGCATTTAAAATTTTGGGTGCAACGTTCATCAATGACTTTTAGTAATTTTCACTAATCAATACTCAATTGAGTGACTTGCACTTATCAAGTTGATGAAAGACATAACTTTGCGCAACTTCGATAATTTACTTAAAATGCTAATAATCTCAGCCCCATCGACAATTCCATGTGAATAAATCATTACCATAATTTAACATGCAAAACAAAAACAAATTGGGAAAATTTGTTTTTGTTTTGCTTTATAATTTTTTTGGAAATTCGCGATAGGGCCGCATAAGTCGTTGGTGCAATAGGGTCATGCTGGCATAAAAGTCTTACCAATGCACGACTTTTCCAGAGGCCAAATATATGATCCCGTGCATAAGTCCAATCGCGGTTGGGCGCAGCCAAACCCAGGGATTGCGCTTTCTCGAGCACCTCCTTCCAAGCAGCCTCCTTTTCGATTTTATTGGCGATCTTATTTTGAAATGTTCCAAATAAAATATTCTAAAATGAAAAACAAGGTTTTAGCGAATGTAATATGTATGTACATTTAAAGGCGTCTACCTTTTTCTTTTTAACTACTTCCAAAACCGCCAATTTTTTCTCTCTATTTTGTGCGCGCGACATCTTCGGCAGACCTAACCAAAGTGAAGTTATATAGCCAATACAGCCAAATATAGCTCAGTTTTTGTTTGGTTTTCACATTTTTTTGGTAACGTCTATCACTCTGCTACTATCTTCACTACATATAATGACCCTGCAGAAATTTTTTCAACTAATTCAACGACTTGTTGGTCGAGTGCTAGTGTAGACTCGGCGAATTCGAACGACGGCGCTTAGCGAAATACTTCTTTGGAAAGCCGACTTTTTGCCAGAGATGTAATCCGAGAATCTCCAGAAGACTACGCCAGCACACTACCCGCGAACGATGGTGCTCTGGTGAACTCGACACCGATGGACAGACCACGATAACAAGTGCTGCCGTGTACATTATAATGAAAGGGAAAAAGTGCAGTGTCTATATTTGGTGTGAACAACCCGACGGAACTTGACAAATGCGAGCGGCTGGCTACCGATGAAAGTTTTTTGGCCTGGGCCCAAGCTGAAGGAAAAGTCGATGTTCCGAATTTTTGATTATACACATGCGCTACTAATGAATTTTCCTACAGAGCATCACTGACTACACAAGCTTACATAGCCTAGTTGCTTTAGCATGTGTTGCGCTGTGCTGTGCTGTGCTTAGCCGACAAACTTATCAAAAACACTGATAAGTTGCTTATCTGGAAAGCGATACACTCGTACTTGGTAAACTCGTAAGTTTTTGTTTGTTTTCATTCACAGCAAAGGTTATCAAGTAGACTTATCAAAAAAAAATTACTCCTCGTTAATTTGAAAAGCGATAAGGGATACATAAATAAGTGGTTCGTGCAAAAGGAACCTAGTTGGATGTGAAAGGCCTTAGTTTCAGCTATTCAGCGAATGAAGAAAAAGTAGTGCCGAATTTCCACTAGGCATTGAGATAACAAAAAATATTTGCGCTTAATATGAAAACTTTGAATAATTTCGCTACCCAGATTTTAATTAAAACTAATTTTTTAACCGTCGATATTTCGACCTCAATCTGAACTTATTAAAAGTTTTCATAATTTAAAATTCGAAGCCCAATAACCAAAGATGAAATATGTCGAGCCCTAACCGCCAAAAAGCCGTGAGCGAAATTGTTTTCAAAATTTTATTTCTGATGCAGAAATACATTTAAATGCTCTAGGAACATTTCTGCATCAAGAGGAAAATTTTTAAAAAATGTCCTTTTTGCCACTAAGGCTCGATGATGTACATATATTTTTTTTATAAATCAATTCTCCTAAACAGAAAAACAAATCGGAAAATTCAAAAATTTTATTATATTGCCAATAATTGTTCAAAAAGCAATTTCGATTTTGGGATTTTCCAGTTTCAGGGTGCCTCTCGAACATGTGGAAGTGTGAAAACAGCTTGTGAAATTCTTTTCGCCACCACAAAGTAAACCAATTTTTTCATATTTTATTTCCCATGCGTATTTTTCAATTTTTATTTCTTTATTTAATTTGTATTTTGTTTAATTTTATTTGACTTTTAGTTTCCGTATCTCATAGCTCTTTAATTAATAATAAGTATGTATATGTTTTTTTCTTTCCTCTTTGTATATATAATTATTTTATTTTCTCATATATAATGTAATATATACTTTTGTTTTATATAATCATATATTGCACTAAAAATATCTGTGATATTTTTCTCTTACATTTCATGCTTTTACTGCTACATTTTGTATGCCTTTTTGCCTTTTTATAATTTTTTATATATTTTTTTTTATATTGTATTTTGTATGCTTAATACACTGTCATTCGCTAATTTTTCTTTATTTTTAATTTTTGCTAGTTCTTTGTATAATTTTTTCTCTCTCTTAGCTTAATTCTCAATTCTAATTCATTCCCAGCCATTTAATAAATTTTTCTTTTTTTTTATAACGCATTCTCTACACTTGCCATCCATAGTCGTGGGTTAGGACATGGGGGCGCTATATTTGCTGGTGTTTTTGTTTATATTTCAGTTATACGAAATCTTATTTCTAGCTTAGATCATGCCCAACATTTCTATAATTTGTTAAAAACTAATTTTAAGAAAAAATATGTGGCAACCAAAAACTCCACAAAATTTCAACTCCTTGGCTGTATTCATACTGAACTTGCTAATTTTGCGCATCAGAAAATGGCAATTCGCCAAAAATATTGACAGTATGTATATCCAAAAAATGGCAAGCGTTGATCTGGACCAATTCGTTAGAGTTAATCTTCAAATTTAATGCGGATCAGGACCATTTTCGGTGACAATACTTTCAAAACGCAAATCTACCTGGTGGCGGTAATGCATTCAAAAATCTGCTTCAAATAGGATTCGCATTGAGATTTAATAATAACATATCCACGGCCACTCTACTCGTTTAATCCGCAATACTGCCAACTGACAGGGTACGAGTTTGATCGGATCAACTGCGCCGTTAATCCGGATTAACGTTACTAAGGCTGCTACTTCGGTAATTTTGTATTTGGTTCTGACCGGAGAATTTTCAATGAATTCAAATTTCACAATTGAAACTGTAACGAGCTTAGTGTGAACGCCATTTTGAAAAAAAAAAATTTCTTATTTTTTTCAAAAATTTAAAACTTTACAGAATATAAGCTTTAAGATACTAGTTTTGCTTAACAAAAAGATAATTTCTAAGAAAAAATCTTAGGTACTATAGGCTTTTAGGCGTTAAGCAGCGTTTCCGTGCTTTTTTAGTGCTTTCGAATACAAAAACAAATTTTTTTTACCAAAACAATATTCTCAAGAAGTAGTAACTAACAAATTTTCGCAAATTATTTTTCACTTCTACCATTACATTATCAGCAACTATTATATATATTTCTTAAATTTTTTCGCTTTTCAGTCGTCTCTAGTATTTACTTATACTTAAATCTGTACAAATATTTTGCAATGCTTTGCCTAATCTTCCTTCACCATTTATCCATATTTTAAATCAATTATTATTTTTATGTCATTTTTTCTGTAATTTTATTTGCTGATACGTTTTTTCAAGTGTACTCGAAAGTTGAAATGTTTGCATGCTTTTAATATTTTTTCTCTCCTATTTCTAGGATTATGGTGATAACACTAATGGGTATTGAAAGCCTGTCGTTACTTTGTGTTTTTTCCGTTTTTTTTTTGCTTTTAATACATTTTCAGTAGATGAATTTTTTGAAGTTCGGTCGGTCCTGATATTTTTTGTTTTATTGGCATTAGGAAACCATTTTTAGTTACAGTTCTACGAGTACTTGTGTATAGACATAATTTGAGGGATTTGTTTTTGTAGAAATTCAAATTCAATATCAAATTCATTTGATTTTTTTTTGTAGTTTTTGATATATGCAAAAAGTGTGGACATTTGTGATATTTTTTGGTTACAAGAAACGCATTTTTTTTATGTTGCGCTACGCCACTTAAGTAGAAACAGCTGTGCTTTGGGAAGCGGTAGGAGTATTTGAAACTAAATAAAAAAATTAAACACAAATAACATAAAATAAAAAAATTAATAAGGAAATATTGAAAAAATATTAACGAAAACAAATATTTTAAAAATAATGCTTAAATTAGTTATTCAAAGCAGAGCAAGGTTCATTCATTTCGTTTGCCGTTAAGTAAATAAAATCTATAATAAAAAACTCAATCAGAAAATGTAAAATTTATATTATAAAAAATAAATATGTGTTAAGTTTTTAATATCTCACAATAAAATAAAATATGTGTTAATTTTTTTATTTCTCACAATAAAATAAAAATGAGAAATCCCCAGCATTCAAATATATACAGAAAAGTGGCAGAAATTTTGGTATCAAATTAAAAATTAATTTTTTTACTGCAAGAATAAAAATTTTAGAGAAATTTTTCTGCATTATAAATACAAATTTGTTCTCAAAAAAATTTATTTCAAGCGCAGTTAAATTTAAAAAGCTATTTGAAAAAACGGTCCTAATTTTTCTAAAACTTTTGAGGACGCAATCAAAAAATCAATAATTTAAAAAAAGAATTGTTTCAAAAGTACATATTTATAAGGAAAATTAATAATTGTTTGTTTTAGATTTTAATGTAGTAGGCCGAGAAAGCGCAAAAATAAATTTTACAAAAAATTTAGTCTGTGTTAGAAAAAGGTTTTTTAACATTTTTGGCATTTATCTTTCATATGAAGTTCATAATGAAGTTTAAAAAGTTATGTTGAGATAACGAATAACTGAGCAGAAAATATTTTCAAAACATGTTTATTTATGTGCGTAAGCTGAAAACCGCTTTTCGAAAGAAATTGTAACTGAAAATTTCGTTTTAAGACCGATTTAAAAAAAAAAATTGCTCGAAAAAAATGAATTAGCCTCTAAGATCTTAAAAAAAATATAATGAAAAACAAGCAATTTTAGTATAAATATCTGATGAAAAAGTCCACAAATATTCGACTTGAAAAACCAAATATTCGAAAAATAAATTTGAATAGCTACTACAAATTGTGTCAAAACTTCGAGAGAAAAATCTAAAACCGTCCCAAAGAAATCGTTTAAAATGAAAGACAAAAAAAAAATAATTTCATAGAGAATAATTAATAAATTTAATATTCAATTACTATTATCGAAATTTTAAATTATTAGGTAATAAAAAACTTTAAAAATAAACTCAGCTTAGCTTCTACAAATTTGGCAAACATTTCTCAATAAGTTCAAAATATTTTCTTCGGAAGCTTGTGAGACGACAAAAAAAAATTTAACCAAACAAAACTTCGAAAAGTTTTGAATGAAGAAACTGGTCAAAATTTCTAAGCAATTCGTTTGACTTACAAGCGATTTCGTTGGATGAGACAAAAAAAAAAT